GGAAGCCGACAGACATCGGTATGAAGAAGATCAACGTAGGTTCTACGGACCTATGTACTCTTACATGGCCCAGCAAGGATCTTTTCAGACCATGGCGAACCCCCCTCCACCACCCTCATGGTATGACCCCACTCATTGGGGTAACTTTGGAGGATCTAGCTCCGGAGGTGGAGGGTACGATGGCGGAGATGGCGGGGACACATACATGGGAGATGGCGGGCAGGGGAGCGACTTCGGAGGCAGCTACTACGGCGAAGAAGGCGGGCACTAGGGACAGTGTTTGGCCTAAGTGTGGGGGAGAGACTCTTATGGTATGTACTTTCATTTATTACCTTTCACTATGTATGAATTTCTTTTACCATTGGTATTAAAAAAACACTAGTTAGGTTGAAAACCCAACAAAATGGGCAATCTAAACAAAAAGGGCTTATAAAAAAAATTGAGTGAGTTGGGAAGAATGGAAAATGAAAAGAGATGTTAGGATGAAAACCTGAAAAAGACTCCTAGACAAAATGAGAGATATGAGAGAAATATTTGTTTTTGCATGCACTCATTTGGTTTCTTTGGAGAATAAGGAGATTCAAGAAGAAGAAGAAAGAAGGAGAAGAGAGGATGAGCAATAGAAGACCATAAAACCCAAGATGATATTAGTAATTTGAGCTTAAAAAACTCATGTTTTATCCTTGGTGGCCTTTGTGTTTTTTATCTTGCTAACATTGTTGAAACTTTGGAAGACTTGACACTTGTAAACATTTTACTTTACTCGAGGTCGAGTAAAGAACTATGTGTGGGGGAGTTGATATGTTTGTAATTTCTATATGTATGTTTGTGTTTTTAATTAGTTTTGATTGAGTTTTACTTTGGAAATTACACACTTTTGGTGTAATAGTTTAATTTTTTAAATTCTTGTAAATTGTTTAGATTAGGATCACTCTGAACTCAAACATGTCTTGATCACTCAAAGGACAGTTGGTGAACCCCCAAAAGTGGAAGGAAGGTGCATAATTTGAAGACAAAATAAGGATCCTGAAATTTTGGTCTATACCCGGTCGAGTATCACCTATACTCGATCGGGTATCTTGTTGAAACTTCAAATCGGATCGGATCCGAACACAAAGGATCATGCAGAGAAGATTCGGACCACGATCGAGTGTCCATACCCGATCAGGTACACCGACACACCCGATCGGGTATCTCTTCAAATACAAACCTGAATTCGGTCGAGTATGCCCTGGATCTGAAGTTATAAGCATACTCGACCGGGTACAAAGGTATACTCGATCGGGTATGCTTATGAAATTTTTCCTTTGATCGATCGAGTATACCTCGAATTTGAGGTATTACACATACCCGATCGGGTATCGTGGTATATACCTGATCGGGTACCCGAGCTGCATCTCAAAAGCCTATAAATACACCCCCTTTTCTTCACAATTAGAGAACCAATTCCTCTACACTTCTAAGCTCAGTATAGAATAGTTCTTTCTTTATATTTTTCATCATATTTAGTCTCCAAATGAGAAACTAAACTCTTCCATCTTGGTTTTGTTATTTTGAAGCTTAATGATTTGTAAGTTGTGAGTTATTTTCTTTAATCTTCTTCCTTGAATATTAATTCTTTCCTATTCATATTCCATATTAATATTGTGAGCATTACTTAATGTATCAACTAGTTTTGTTTCTTATATTAATTATTACTAGAATCAATCGGTTAATACGCTCGTTATTAATCTGATTCTTTCAACAATAGTAAACTTGGATTATTAATGCATGCATCTCATGGTTAATATGCCAAGAGGAATTTATTATATTGATTAAACCAATAAACCGCTTGTGTTGATGTTATCAATTTCAATCATTTTCATCTTAAGTTTATTGCTATTATCAAGTTAATATACGGCGCTTGTTCTATATTGACTCGATAGTAAGTTTTATTAATGAACGCATCTCGTTATTAATAACTACCCTCGATGAACTGAATATACTCCCTGATTGAGTATTCGAGAGAAAGATAGTTAAAGATATAACCGGGATCGACGAACATTTCATTAAGTGGATAAAAGCAAAACCAAATCCACATCTCTATTATTTAAACTCATATAAGTTGTTCATCTTAGTGTTAATTAAATTAAATCAAATCAAATTAAAACCCCCCTTCGTTAATGTTATTATAAAAGATAAATATTTCTTTCCCTGTAGATACGAACCTTACTTCGATATACAAGTGCACATCAAGTTACCGGGGGCCTCTCAGCCACTAAAATGGAATCATACAACAGATGGGGTATTCACTACACGCTCTGCGTACAAGGAGGAAATGTTTTATCAACTAAATTTATTTGGCATAAAAAGCAGGTGCCAAAAATCATGGTTTTCCTGTGGAGGGTATGGCATAGAGGTCTACCATTCCCCGAGCAGATGGCTTCTTTTGCAGTGGTTTATCCTTCTACTTGCCCCTTATGCAGACTGAACGACGCATCCCAAGGCCACATTTTTCTCCATTGCCCCTTTTCTGACTCTTTGTGGAAATTTTTTACTTCTACTCTGCAGGTTGGTGGCGGTAGAGTTAGCAGCATCTAGAATCAACTTATGAAGTGGTGGATTTCAAATAATGGAAAGAGCATAGATCAGTTATATAGGGCAACGATACCTGGTGTTATAGCTTGGCACCTTTGGAAGGCTTACTGGGAGGCGATTTGGAAAGGGACAAGGACGGACAGGGATTTGGTCATATATCAAATAAGCATGTACTTGGTCAACTGGTGCTGGGCAAACAACAATTTAAAAGGATGAGAAAGGTTACAAGAGGTTGGATTATTACCTGCGAAAATCCTCCGAAGGAAGCCTCAGATTTTTCGTTGGAAGCGCCCGGGGGTATCTCAGGTGAAACTCAGCTGGGCGAAGTTGAAGCAGAATGGAAAAGCAGTGACCGGTTTCCTCCTACGTGCACACGATGGTGAGATGGGGGCGGCTAATGGCCTGCCATTGACAGACTTGGTGATGGGAGATATGGAGGTCTTGGTTTAGGCGGTGGAATGGGCGATTGGAATGGGGTTTCCAGATATTGTCACCGACATTTCCTGTTTTAATCTTCTGGAGAGGACTGTTTTGGATTTGGGCTTTGATTTCATGCCTGAAAGTGTGAATAAGGCTGCAAGATGTGTTGGGCCTTTTTCGGTAATTCCTAAGGAGTTACAAGGTATCATTAGGATGGATGCTGATTTGGTGCCTTACATATTTTGATTGGGTCTGTTTGTCGACCCAATTGTTTCATTTACTCTTTTCTCCATGCATGTTGTGTGGGTCTGGATTATCTAAAGAGTTTTTGGTCCGGTCTCCCTCTTCTGTTGTATTTGTTGATTTCTTAATAAAATTTGGCAAATGACCCCCAACTGGAAAAAACAAACTCGATTGCAATTATACTTCTACCACATGTTGCAATGAGTGTAACGCTTGTGTAATGAGGGGGGCCTGGAGTAATCAGGACTGAAACTCACTCCATTGAGTTTCAAACCCTTATGTGCCTAGCGGGTTTCGAACTCGAAACCTCTCACTAGGCACGGTAACCTCACAACCAGCTGGGCTGGAATGCTTGGTTTGATTTATTCTTGTAGAACTCTATATTGCTGGATGAATTTCATTTGTTTCATTTATTTATTTTATTGTTTTTTATCATATTACACATAGGAAATTACTTACCGTATAATTAAAACATAACAATTTTCCCAAAGTATGGGCATATGTTTGATTTTTCTTAAATAAGACAAATATTACATTTCTATCCTTAATTTAATTAATTTATATAATTAATTGTCCCTATTTCCCTTGCATAACCAAAGTCATTTTGTTGGTGACAGATCAATCCGATGACAGCGACGATGAACTCTGGTGACAGAGTCGGACAAGCAAATCGATAGCGGTGATCTAGGTGAAAATTTCGATGAATCAGGAGTGGCAGTCTGGATTTAAAAGTCTATGGACTTTTTAAAAGTCTATAAACTTATATATGGATTTATAACTCAATAGAATTCATTAATAAAAAGGTTTATGAATTTAAAATTGAGATATTACCCGAAATAGGACTAAAACAGTTTGAAATTTCCAAAATAGAACTGTCATGTTTTTATTCCCAAAATAGGACTAATTACTGTCATGTTTTGTCATGTTTTTAAAAGTCTATAAACTTATATATGGATTTATAAGTCAATAGAATTCATTAATAAAAAAGTTTATGAATTTAAAATTGAGATATTACCTGAAATAGGACTAAAACAATTTGAAAATTCCAAAATAGGATTGTGATGTTTTTAATCCCAAAACAGGACTAATTACTGTCATGTTTTGTCATGATTTTAAAAGTCTATAAACTTATATATGGATTTATAAGTCAATAGAATTCATTGATAAAAAAGTTTATGAATTTAAAATTGAAATATTACCCGAAATAGGATTGTCATGTTTTTTATTCCCAAAATAGGACTAATTACTGTCATATTTTGGCAGTACCAGATTTCAAACATGACAGTATTTTCTAAACATGGCAGTAATTAGTCCTATTTTAGGAATAAAAACATGACAATCCTATTTTGGAATTTTCAAACTGTTTTAGTCCTATTTTGGGAACTTTCCCTTTAAAATTCCATAGGCTTTTCGAAAAGTCTATGAATTAAAAAGGGAATTTTATCAATCTGGGACCTGAAAAATAGAAGAACTATCAATTTGGGACTTGAAAGATGAAATGTATCAGTATAAGACCCAAATGATGGAAAAGTATCAATCTAAGACCTGAATGATTGAAAACTATCAAATTAGAACCTAAGTTTTCATTAATATTATTATTATTATTTTAAAAAATTTAAATAATATTTAGTTTTATTAAACTAATAAACTCTTGTAAAGAAAATTATCATCAAATATTAGCAATGGAATTAATAAAGAATTAAATAAATCAAAACCTATTAAATGTTAGCTTAATAGTTTTACAAATCTAATGCTTCAAGCTGTTAAACAAGTCGACCCTTTAGAGTTGGGAACAAGAGTATTCTCCTCTTACGTCCACTTCTAAAAAGCCTCATTCTTTCGATCTATTTCTTTCAGGTCTCTTCCTTTTCTCTGCCTTCAAATGTGTTCAATAGAATATATAAAGATTTTTTTTTTGCAATGTATATATTTGTTTATCCTGAATTTAAAAATAAACTTTTCGAAATTCGATGGAGGTTAACGCGTACCAGTTTATTGTTTGTGCAGAAAGCGCCTTGGATCGACGAGAAGATCCAGGATGCGAGTCTAACAGTGAGATCTCTCAGTGTTTTTTCAGTGTTTTTTTGGTGATAGTAATTTACCCAAGGATATTGGTAATGAAAGATTTGATTTTCTTTTGTTAGAAGGCTCTAAATGATGATACCATAGTGTTTTGTTTATCTCACACGCTTTCCGTGAATGGCATGTGTGAGTGTGGGTGGGGTGTGTCCCTGTGTTTATTGCATTTTAGGAGTATCTATAATCTATATATATTGGAAAAGTAGTTTTCCATTTTTTCTTGTGAGTTGATTTAGTTAATAATAATAATAACTTGTTCAAAACTCTGTTTTCTATGAATTTGTAGGTTGAATCCTATGTAATTTATGAGACTGCAATTTCTTTCGGTGAATTTCTACATTACTAAAAGGTTCACATATTTTTTCTTGACAATGTTTTTTCCCTATGTTTAGGTTATACTACTTACTAGTACTTTATCGCAACAATAACAATGACCAGGCCTTTATCGCAGGTTCTCAGATCAATGCCATGAGACACACAAGAGAGCCATGGTTTTTATTAAAAAAATGTATGAGGTAGTAAATCAAGGACATGAACAAATGGGACAATGTTTTCAGATAAACACTTGGTTAATAATTAATTCGTCGAAACCAATGAAGGCATCTTTGAACTTTTGCAAATGAGGTTGGTTGTTTAAATTTGGTATTGGTTTGTTATGACTTATGACTGAATCCAAACTGGTGCCCAAATGTGATACAAATGCATACTTATTACGGTTGGCAAGATGGAATTTGGGAAGCCCTTCTTAGACAGATAAGGTTGTTTGGTGCAGTGTAGGAATTTGGGAAGCCCTTCTTAGACAAAAACTTGTTTTTTACCTATTCTTCTATCATCTTCTTCGCAAACCCACATAAGGCAGTTTCTCTCTAAACCCTTCTTAGAATACGTAAGTTACTATCTTCACCGCACATAGTAACTTCATCATACAATACTATACCTAAGTCACCTTAATGAATTACTTGTCCATCAATTACCATTGGGTCAATTACTATATTACTACATCCGTCCCACTAAGACTGGGACGGAAGAAGGTGACATGGTTATTAAACAAAATGAGTTTATGTGGTTGATATTGAATTGATAAAGTAAGAATAAAGTAAGATTGATTAAGAGCCACACAAACTTTACCAAGTATGGTATGAGACAATCTTAGTGGGATTTTCTGAAAAGGTAAAATGAGACAATCATAGCGGGACAAAGGGAGTATAAGTTACCACTTTGAAGTTATTATATACTCCGTATTATACGATATGTTCACAAAACACCTCCAATGGAAAACAATACAAATGAAACTAAACTTTTGTGGCCGTCAATTGATTTTAATTCCACTAAACAAAAAACATTGTGAGCCCATTTGGTAATACCCAAATCGGCCGTATTGGTTGATTCTGCTGAAACTTATGAAATCCTGGTTGAAGTGGTTGATTCTGCTGAAACATATGAAATTCTGGTTGAAGTGGTTGATTCTGTTGAAATTTAAAATTATATGTAGTATTTAAAATATATTTTATTAATAAAATAAAGAAAAAATTACATGAAAAACAGCTAAAACGATTTCCTCTTTTGATGCAATGAAAGATTTTTGTCTGAATGATTTATACATCGATTTGATGCAGTGGAGAATTACTATGGAACCCGCTCCAAATTGACGTTTCAGTCCGAGTCCCTTAAATTAGGTCCGGACTTTAAAAACTTGGTAACCGTTGGGGCAATCATGAGATTTTATTTATTCTCTTTCCATATCCATTCGTTTTTTATTAAATATTTATTTCTAGTCACTTTGTTGTCCAACTAATTAATAATAGTAATGTATTTGTAAAAACGTCATTTAAATATATAACCATATAACAATCTGCCTAAACGCTACACCAAATCAGATTGTTTAGCAGTCATAAATAATACTCCCTCCGTCCCATATTTAACTTCGGTTTTGACCGGGCATGGGTTTTAAGATAGTGGGATTTGTGTGGTGGAGAGTTATGCAGAGGAGAGAAAAATGTGTAAGAATGGTTGTGAACCACATATTCTTTACCAAAAAGGGAAAAAGGAGATAAATTTGGGACGGACCGAAAAGGAAAGAATGAAGATAATTCCGGGACGGAGGGAGTAATAAAGATGGTTTCTACAATCAAATTGTTCAAGTTTTTACTTTTGATAGTTTAATAAACATAGTATTAACCGTGTCTTATGATAGTTTATTATATAACAGTTATATATGACAGTTTATTATTATTAACAATTTATTATATACTACGTAACAATTTATAAAGCAATTACTATTAATTGTTTGAAAATCACTATTAACAGTTTATTTGTAACAAATTAATAAAAGTTACTATTAACTGTGTATTAGTTTATAGTTTAGTATATACGGAGTACGTAGTAACAGTTATATATGACAATTTATTATTATTAAAAATTGATTAAAAACAATTGCTATTAATTGTGTATAAATTACTATTAACAGTTTATTATATAGCAATTTATTAAAAATTCACTCTTAAGAATGGGGATGATAACAATGATGAATTCTAGGCCCATAAGTTCACTACTTTGCTTGCGAGTTTGCTACTTTGCTTTTTAATTACTATATAAATATAAATTGGCGTTTAATGTGTTTCTTTCTACTGTTTGAATATATCTTTTGTTTCTCTTGTGACTGGTTTTGATGTTTATTAAGCTTGTTAATGGCTTAAGGTATTTTTGTGATGTTATTTCTTTTTTGGAAAGATGGCTTTTTGTGGAAGTATTATAAATATAGTTTACTATAGTTATACACTTATATGGTTATGTTCTGTGAGGCGCGCGCCTTCGCCTCACGCCTTGGTTAATTTGACCCAAAACGCCTCATGCCGTCTCGTGCCTTTTAAAACTAAGCCTGACGCCCATTAATCCCATTCCTCATTTTAGGCTGCAAATTATTTTATTTCTCCATTCGTTAGAGCAAAAGTGATCTTTGTAGAAACCTTGTATGATATATTTGGTGTGTGACCTTGTATCACAACTCACAACTTTGTTATTTTTTTATTGAAAAGCAGAAATTACTTTTAACTAGCAAATTTGATTTTCCTTGGTATTTTCCATGGTAAAAGTGTAAAAGAGCTAGTATTATTCTCCTTTCCTTACCATTTTCTGCATTCCAAGCATAGCCTTTGTGTTTCTGTATGATTATCATTTTTTATTCCCTCAACTGTGTATGTCTTATGAAACTTGTCTAGGTCTCATATTCATCCAGCCATGCACCGTCATTGGTAATGAGATGATCATAAAGATTATTACTTTCTTTAAATATTCTGAGCCTGGAAAGCACTAGAATGTGTGCTCACTGAATTTCAAGAGTATGAATTGGCCATCTCAGGGTTGCAGAATTTCTTGTTTGCTGAGTTTTTCTTGTTTTTGAGCTTGAATATATATAGGTGATAAAAGAGCAGAACTTTACTGCAACCATGGAAAATGGTTTTCTGGAGAAGCCTTTTGATAATCAGGAAGAGTCTGTGAGCCAAGATGAACTTATGATCCGTCGCCTTAAAAACCGTGAACGACAACGCAGGTATAGAGCTAGGAAACGTCTCCAAACTGATATTGACAAGACTCCTGAGAGTGACTCAAGCCAATATACTCCACAACGTACACTACCAATCCCTGTCACACCTCAAGAATTTGCAGCGGCATTAGACACTAAGGGTATGTTTAGGAACAGTTATACACCTGAACTGTTTCTCAGTGAAGTCATATTTTTCAAAGGTTTTATGAAACAATTAAACACAAACATTGTACTGTTGGAATAAATATGCCTTTATCTTTAAGCCAATCATGGGTTGCCACTTGCCACGTGACAGCCCAATGTTATTTTTCTGTTTTATTTTTGAATTGCTCCAACTTTTATTTTCATGCTTTTATCAATCTTTTTTTTAATATTCATAAAGTATTGATTATAATACGGGCAATTATATTGCTCTAGCTATTATTTTTTGTTCCAACTTTTAAATGGATTTTTAAAATATTTATATAATAGTGTATTAACTAAAAAAAGATAGTTTTTAACTAAAAAACAGTCGTGATGAATATTCATTTATTAGAGATTGTTTATGCTTTTTTATATTTAATTATTTATTACAACACGTTCCATCATTTGCAATGGAGCCAAAGATTCATTTTTTTGGCTTGAGATTATGATGGAATAAAGCAAAATGGCTCACTAAACTGTCTACGCTTCTTTGTTATGGAGCAGCAGTCAGTCCATGCAATTTTGGACACGATTTTCACTATGGGTCATCCGGAAACAGTCTCTCTGTGCTTTAGTACAGGGGTAAGACTGCGTACATCCGACCCCCCTTACCCCACCGTAGGTGGGAGCCTTTGCGGCACTGGGGTAAATGAAAATGAATGAATTATTTATTACAACACACATACGATTTTCTTGGATGAGCATGACAATATGTTAAATTTGATATCATATACTATCGTATTATACAGTATCTTTACTCTATTCAAATTTTCTAAGCTTCTAATTTTCTTCGCTTTTTCTTTCCTAGAATTTCCCTTCCAAATGAAACGGAAAGACGTTAAAGACTTACCAGCTGACCACTGTTCTTCCACAGTCCTACTTGAAGTGCCAGTACAGGTTGTCACTCCAGATTACCGGACACCTAACAATGCCATTTCCTGGGAATGCCCAAGACTTATAAATGCCATGTGTCAGGAACCTGCGACCCGTACCTACTGTGCACGAGACTGGAAAAAAGATGCACGGAAATCCCAAGAGCTAAAGCAGCAAGATGTTAGACATGATGCTGCCACGAACATGCTCAAAGCACACAAGAATGAACCGGACGAGGTGCCAAGTGACAGGAGTGCCCTCGATATCTCCTCCACACCGGCTAACTGTGAATCACTCAAGTTCACAAGCAGCAGAAGACATTGGAAAGCAGAAGCTAGAAATAAAAAAGGCTGAAGTGTTTTTTCATGAGTTGGTCACTTCTGGGTTGCTGTATTTCGGAGGGTCTATTTATGGACAAGTGTGGGGTTTTTTAGCTTCCCAAAAATGGCTGAAGTGTTTTTTCATGAGTTGGTTACATCTGGGTTGCTGTATTTCGGAGGGTCTATTTATGGACAAGTGTGGGGTTTTTTAGCTTCCCAAAAAATGTGTGTACTAAAACTCATATCAGCTCAAAAACGTGATGGCTTAATTGCCAAGGAATAGAACCAATGTATATGGAATTGTGGTTGAGTTGGTCTTTTATTCCCAGAAGTTGGTTTAGGGCTGAACATAGGGCAATATATGTCTTTCAATGTTTTCTCTTTCGAACCAAGATATATTAGTTTCCTTCAAGTTCTAAATCCCAAGCCAATAACCAGTGGCGGGTCTAGACCAGATGTCGTATTGTATTGTATAAAATTTAGTATGGGCTATGGTGTGGTACAGCATTTAAAATTTTGGTTAAGTTGTCCTTCCGTATGGAACATGGAGTTTCATTGGTTCTATTCCTTAGCAATGGAAGAGGATAAGGAGAAGGAGAAGAAGAAGCAGGAGGTAGAGGGTTTTTTGGGATGATTCTATTCTAAAAATTTGTGAAGCTGATTGGAATAATTAGTTTGTTCACTTGAAAATCAATTCTGACTCTTTTTCGGGATACTTTAGTGCTCTTTATGGAAGCAACAATTATATTCAGAGAAGGGAGTTATGGAAGACCCCTTTCAATTTTTTCGGGACAATTAAAGAGCCTTGGATGGTGCGGGGAGATTTTAATACTATTGCTTCTCATATTGAACACCATGGTAAGTCTCTACCTCATCTTAGAAATAAGATGGAATTTTCAAATTGCCTTGCAGCTTGCCAGCTCATTAACCTTCCATATCACGGGCCTAAATATACTTGGACTGGTATCAGACATAATGGTAGACTTTGGAGTAAGTTTGACAAAGTTTTATTTAATGATATATTCATTGATTCCTTTGATCATATTCAGATTAGTCATATGAATAAAACTCCTTCTGATCATAGTCCTGTGCTTTTGGAATGATATAACAAGCAACTTTCGGGGTCTAAAGCTTTCAAATTTCAAAACATGTGGTTTTCACATCTTTCCTTTCTGGAAGTTGTTGAGAAAATCAGAATTCCCATTCCTTTGAGGGGTCTGGTTTCTAAATTACAATGCCTGGATAAGAGATTAAAAATGAAATAAGGAGGTTTTTGGGGACATCTTTGAGGGCATTAAACTCTGTGAAAAAGATAGTTTGGAAGCCGAAATTCTACTGGAGAATGACCCATCTGATTTTACCAGAGAATACTGGTAAGTGTGAAAAAGATAGTTTGGAAGCCATCCTTTTTTAAGTAAGGGTGCTAACTTACGTATTACATAAGTGCAAATCAATAAATGGGCCCCTAACACAGTTGGCCTAGTATAAGTTACGAATAAACATCTACACAAATACAAAGATATTTAGCAAGATTGGACACCATAAAATGCTCTAACACCTATAACACAAGAGGTAATTGTATTAGTGGAAGTCCATGGGCCGGGACAAACAGTTCTCACTAAAGCGGATAAGGGAAAGGCATTTGAGCTGGGGGCAGGAGCCATAATGGTTCAAGACGATCATCAAGCTGGCGCATGATATGCACGTGAGGATGATTCCATGCATGACATGAAGACTTTACCATCTGGAGAGTTGGAAGCCTCACATGAGGTGTAGCACATTCAGACAATGATAGGGACATTGAGTTCTGCTGCAGAGGTTAATAGGTTGTGTTCCTTTGATGACATATTACAAACGCAGATTAATGAAGGTGATGTTTTGGAGGTGAATCCATTCCAGTCCATTGAAGGCTGGAAAATGATACTAGAGAAAGTTAAACTTAAATTTAAGGAGCATCATGAAGGAGAGGCACCGGAAGATAGTTTGATTTAAGAATAACACACCAAGTGTTGTTACCAGATTGGTGGCAAAGAAAGGCTCTAACAGGCTTCTTAAATTTAAGGAGCATCAATGAATATCCTCACGTGGAATATGCGTGGTCTTTCCTCTTCCTGCCGGAGGCTTCACAACTTACTAAGGCACAATCAAGTTGGTTTTGTTAGCTATTTTTGAACCTATCATATGGTTTAATTGCCATATAAGAATGGATAATGTTTTCATGTCTTCTTCAGTTAAGATTTGGTTGTTTTGGGACTCCTCGGTTTTCTCTGTATCCAACATTACGGAGGGATCTTAAAACCCTCATTTTTAATGTAAATACCTTTCTTTTGATTTGGACTTTCAATTTACTGTGGTAAACAGGAAATATATGAGAAGGGAAAGGGCGGAACTTTGGGATTTTTTTGAGGCAATTCCTTGCTATAAACACTGCTCCTTGATTGGTAGGAGGAGATTTTAACGTTATCTCTTCACTACTTGATCATAAAGGGAACTCCATTCCATGTATCGAAAGTATGGAAGACTTTGCAGACTGTATTCAGGATTGCAGCCTCTTGCAACCAAGCTTTCTAGGTGCTTCTTATGCCTAGCATGAGATTTAGTGAAATGGCATATTTGGAAGTGTCTCGATAAGTATCTGTATAATGATGGTTTTGGACTTTTGGTACGCCTTTTGACTCTATTGTAACTCATCATTTAAGTAGAACTGCGTCTGATCATTGTCTTATTCCTCTTGAGATGCATGAAGAATTAAAATGACAGCTCTTAACAGTGCTTACACACGGAAGATTGGAATGCCTGAATCACGAGTCTTATATACTGTGTAGCACATGTGGACAACACATCCAGGATTCTCTGATGTCGTAAAACATAGTTGGTACAGTCCAGATTCTAGTGGTGGCATGCTTAGATTATTTAATAAGCACCATAAACTAAAGACTGATCTGCGAACATGAAACAAGAATGAATTTGGAAATGTTTTTAATAATGTGGTTATGGCAGAAAAAGAAGCTTTGTTGGCCCAAAAAACTTTTGAACAAGACCCTACAGATGAACACATAGTGCGGTTATCTAAAAAACAGGCAGAATTGTTGCTCAAACTGAAACAAGAGGAAATCTTTTTGCAAAACAAGGCCAATATCAAATGGATAAAAGAGGGAAGCAGACCATTCAACTCATTTAAGACAGGTCTGGCAGTTGGCTTACCTCTCAGGAGGAGATCATGAAAGAAGTTGTTGGCTTCTACTCTAAACTCTTTTAGAAAGAGGATACTACTGCTCCAGATTACATGCTTTCCTTTCTACCAAACTTGGTTGATTTTGATGACAATGAGATGTTGTGTACACTTCCTCGAGTTGATGAGATCAAAGCTTCCGTTTGGCAGTTAAATCCGAACAATGCTCCAGAACCGCATGGTTTTACAGGGTATTTCTTTCGACATTGTTGGGATTAGGTAGGAGAAGATGTGGTCTCGGCAGTGCATGCGTTTTAATTTTCTCAGAGTACCTTTGCGGCTTTGCCTAAATCAATTGCCAGTGCACAAACAATTCTTTTATGAAAAGTTTCAAATCCTCCCTAATTTGGAGATTATTGACCCATTTGCATTTCTACTTTCGTCATTTAAGTGAACACTCTCATCGCGGCTAATCCACTTGTTTCTTTACTGCCTAAACTTATATTCCCCAAGCAGGCGGGTTTTATAAAGGGTACGGATATTCATGATCATACTTTAATGGCGACCGAAATGATACACACGATAAATAGGAAGAGTCGGGGATGAATATTGCTATCAAAGTTGACACGGCCAAAGCATTTGATATGGTTTCTTGGTCGTTCTTAAGGACAGTTTTGACGAAATTTGGCTTCTCTAGGGAGGTTATTCATTTATTAATGGGAAATCTTTTTATTTTCAAAGGTGTTTTTATTCATGAGTAAAGGACAACATAAATAAAAGATGAAAGAAAAGGGGAAATAACAACAACAACAACAATATAAACAATAATGATGATGATGATGATGATGACGACGACGATCAGACGATGGCGATGATGATGACGACGACGATGATGATGATGATGTTATTGATAATGATGATGACGATGATAACGGTGATAATGATGATGATGATGATGATGATGACGACAACAACAACAATAAGAATAATAATAATCATAATCATCATAATAATAATAATAGTAATAATAATACTAATAATAATAGTAGTAATAATAGTAGTAATAATAGTAGTAATAATAGTAATAGTAATAGTAATAGTAATAGTAATCATAATGATCATGATGGTGATGGTGATGGTGATGGTGATGGTGATGGTGATGGTGATGGTGATGGTGATGGTGATGGTGATGGTGATGATGATGATGATGATGATGATGATGATAAAAGGTTCAAATGAGAACATGACCTAAAGAGCAAAATGAAAATGATTCTAGAGTATTGGATTTGGGTGTCATGCATATGTATGACTAAAATAGGATGTTTTTCTAATACCCCGTATATGATTAGATGAAGTTTTATCCATATTCTATTACCCACACATGATCATCCTTTAGTTCTTTAATGTCAATTTCAAATTGCACCGTAGGCACATCGATCCATTAGTAGTCATATAACCGTAAATGTAGTTTTCTAGTCATAGTATGGGAAACTACACATGTTTTAGTAATATTCACACATTTTCCTCTTATACGAAACACAAATTAGAATTAGAAACGGTGTATTTGAATTGTGCATTAGTTTAACCACAAATGTGCATATTCGAATTTTGTATTCTTTTACTTATAATTTTGCACCTTTAGGAACCAGAATGTACATCATTTTGGAGCGTTTCATTTCTCATGTTAAGAAGTGTTCTCACCAGAAACATACCCCACACACACACGCATAGGGTGCGGTTCTAGTGATAACACTCCTTAGCTTGAGAAATAAGAACGCTCCAAAACGATACATATTATGGTTCACGAAAATGCACATTTCTAGTTAAACTAATGCAAAATTCAAATGTGCACATTTATGTTTAAACTTTTGCACACTTGAAATTCACATTTTCTAATTTTTTATATGCACATTTTTCTTTAACGATATCCACATCCAACACCCCAAAATCATTCTCATTTCTCTTCTAAGATGATATTCTCATATGATTCTTACTATATGTGTGTGTGTGTCCTGTCACGCGCGCCTCACAGGGAGTGTCGTGCGGGCTTGCCCATTTGTGGGTCTCCTCGGTGAAATTTTTTGAACATATTTCTCATTAAGTCTAGTTTATGCACACTAAATTTCAGCTCAAAATTCAATCGGAAACACAGTTAAATAAATTATTGAAACATACTGCACATTATGTTAATAAAATTGCAGTTTAAAATTTCAATCGAAGAGCCAGTTTTTTTGTATGGGAAATTTGCAATTTTCGTTTTGTAACTTTCTGCCGCTTTCATTATTAGTCCTGTAACTTTAATCCCTTACAAATTTGATCATGTATCAAATTAATATTTACGATTTAAGGACCTTTCCCCTAAAAAGTACACTTTCCGGCGATAATATACCGGAAAAGTGTTTTTTCCTGTGGAAAAGTCATTAAATTACAAATATTTATTAGTTACAAGACCAAATTTACAAATAACTAAAGTTACAGAACCAATTAATAATGTATTTATTAATATTAATTAGGTTATCTAATTATAGTAGGAATCTTGATGTATCTTTGACTCTCTTATTATAAATAATACCACCGGGGCTACCATTCAGGCTACGCTTCCACATTATTCTCACATGGTATCTGAGCCTTAGGGTTAATATTTTTTTCCGCACACATGTCGACTGCCGCAACACCATTGACCGCCATGGCAGCGCCAACCACGGCTGCGCCCACTGCTGCGATGTTCGTTCCCAGCCCGACGCATAGCGAGATGTCCTCCCAGTCTTTCTCCAGCTCACCAGCTCTATCCACGATTCCGCCTTTAACCTTTGGCAACTGGGTTCCGCCGATTTTTACGTGGTCTCCAACGACTCCGGTAATTCCATCTCTATCACTGGCACCGTCGCACTCCTCCACAGACGGACAACCTTTAGCAGCGGCTGCATCAATCTTCTCTGCCGCTCCAGGAGGATCTTTCGCAGGATCCACGCTTATCGGCTCCCCAGGACTTTCTGCCACTCCACAGATCCCTCCCATTGGCACCCAAAATCAGGTATTATCCAGCAATTCTTCCTTGGCAGCCCTCTCTCAATCTTTGAGTTTTTCTGCCATGAATATCACGAATATAGTTACTACCAAATTAAATGTGGTGGAAGATTATTTACCTAGGCGTACGCAGTTTGAATCCTTTTTTGTGTCTCATAGTTTACTTGGTATTTTGGATGGAACAATTGTGACCCCTCCCATGCATGTGATGAACATTCAAAATTGTCAAGTTATGAATAATGAATATTGTCACTGGCTCAAATTGGATCAAACTGTACGTTCTTGGATTTTTGCCACACTTTCACGTGATGTTTTGGTAGAGGTGCATACTATAAAACATGCTCATTTGATTTGGGATCGTCTGGAATCTCGATTTGTGTCAGCTAGTTTAGCCCGTTCCATGGAGCTTAAAACAATGCTCACTACTTTGCGTAAAAAGAATCCCAATCCATGGAACAGTATCTCCGAGAAATTAGAAATATTACTGATGCCCAGGCTGTCATAAATTCCCGAGTTCCCATGAAAGATTTATTAGAGCAAACTCTCATAGGCTTGGGACCTGATTATCAGTCTGTTGTTACTCCACTCACTTTGTTTCCGGAGGGCCTTACCTTTGAGAAGTTATGCACGAAGCTGGTTCACCAAGAACAATGGTTGCTGTTTCAAAGACGTCAAGAACAAATCATGGGATCACCGGCGTTCGCTGCACCTCAACCCGCTGCTCAACAACCTGCCACAGCGCCTAGAGGACCAGCGCCCCAGCAGCAGCAGTACGGCCAATGCGCCGCGGTCAGCGGGGTCGGGGAGGTCGTGGCTGAGGAGGCTGATCCTATGGCCAGCCTGCACCTTTCGGCGGTGGACAGTTTGGTGGGCCTCTCGCATATGGTGTTCCCCCACCCTACCCTCATGGACAGTTTGGTGGGCGTCCATATCAGCCTCCGGGACAGCCAGGTACAGTTGTAGGTAATTCTGTTGCGTCACGGTATTATACTAGTTTTGCTTTATCTGCTTCTGTTACTAATTGTGTATCTGCAGGCTCCCCATCTTTTGAGCATAGCTTTGGTATTGTTCCTCCTCCGGTTGTCTACCAAATTTGTCATTCTCCAGGTCACTCTATTGTTACGTGTTCATCCCGTTTTGTTCAAGCATCCAATCCTGCCTTAGCCATGTCTACTGGTGAATCCACATATGTCGTATGGTTCCTGACTCTGGTGCATCTGCTCATATGACCGCTCATGAAGGTATTTTGTCTCATAAATCCTCTTCTTCCGGGTCACTTTCTGTCACAGTTGCTAATGGGTCTAATTTACCGGTTGCTAATGTTGGTAATGTGTCATTATCCACTGTGTCTAGGCCTCTCCATTTAAAATCAATCTATCATGTTCCTCAGATTAAATACAATTTACTTTCTATTCAGAAATTATGTGCCGATAATAACTGTTTAGTGATTTTTTATAAAAATT